AAATGACTTAAGGTTTAGCAAACTGGTATTCTGGAGAAAACTGAGGGCTCACCAAATCTATGAGTAGGTAACTGTGGGGGTGATTTGGGGCATGAAAAATCATCAAATATTTAGCTTGTCAACCTGAGACAGTCCTTCCACTTCCTACTGTTGGAGATGCTGCCTCCAGGAGATCCCTGACAAAATATACAGTTAGATGGAATAACAAACCCCACGAAACTACTGGTATTCATCTTCCTAGAGATGATGACCAACACTTGTCATCTTTAATAAGGACAGAAAGGAAGACGCAGACAGAATAATGTACACTCAGCCTTCTGCATCTGTGGATCAACCAACTACAGATCAATCTGTATTGAGCACATACAGACATCATTATTGTCATTCTTTCTAATATAATAGCTATTTATTGAGAATTTCCATTGGAATAATGATTTTAAGTAATCTAGAAATGATTTCAGGTAAAAGGGAGAATGTGGATAGGTTATAGGCAAATACTATGCCATTTTATAGAAGGGACTTGAGAATCCCCATATTTTGGTGTCTATGGAAAGTCTTGGCACCAGTCCCCTGTGGAAACCGAGGGATGATCTCTTTTAAGAGTCTTGGATAAGGAGTCCAAAGAGAATCTGGATCTTCCAATAACTTGCAGTATGAACTTGGGCAAATCACTTGCTATCTGAACCATGATTTTCCCTCTGTTAGACAAGGAAAAAATGATATTTTGCTTACTTCATAAAATTATTATGACATCAAATTGAAAGTTATAGTGAAATGCTCTGAAAGAATTAGATACATACAAAAATCAGCTCTTTCATATTTTAGAAAAGTCACATGATATTCTGGGAAAAAAACTAAAAGATAACAAACCTAGGTTCAAATTCCAACTGTGCTGCCTGGTAATTGAAAATTGGGCAGGATCAATTTTCAGTTCCTTAACATTGGAAAACTCTGGAAGTCATTTCAGAAATAAAGAATTGTTTGAAGGCCTAAAAAGAGCTAATATCAACATGGCCTCTGACAAAGAATAAATAACTGTTTGCTTTACTCTCCTCTGCCCTTCCACAATGACTGCACTCAGGCAGGAGGTACACCCTGGTCACTGACCAAGGGTGACATGATGCGATGGTTAATGACCGACGCTATGGAATCTTCCACCCCTGAGATCATCTGAAGTGTATACCCACAGTCTGCCCGGGGAATTTTTATAGTTCTTTTTGGAATATCATTTCAAACCTCAACAATTGTAAAATCTAATTATGCAAGTAGTAGCCACAGACTATCAGCTGACAAAACTGGTGATTGAAATGTTCCTGGTTGGTAGTTAAAGTTCTGTCTGGAGTTTTGTTTACCTTTGTGATTGATATGATTTGTGATGACTATCCCAATATTTTCTCTTTTTTGTTGTTGTTAATCAAGATGTGAGAGGTCAGCTTGCAAAAGATTTTTTTTTTTTCAAAATTACTCTAAAAAACTGCCTGTCTTTATTGGTCTGTGTGTGCGCGTGCACACTTATACTTTTTAATTAAGCAAATGCTTTTTTTCGGAAGGGGCCGTGCATTAAACACGTCCCAGCATGTGATTCACACATTTTCTTTCTGCCTGTTGTTTCATGTTAGTGAGCTGTGCCTGTTGCCCGCCAACTGTATGGCTTTGGGGTGGAGGATTTTGATACAGATAGGAAGAGATATTTTATATAATTAAATTGCCAACAAAGATGAGAATCATTTATGGAATCTGGAACTTTAAGATACTTCCTGTCATGTCAATTACACCAGTTTTGCCCCTTAAGGTCTGTTGGTCTCTAAGAAGCAAGCCCATCCCCGAGTTCCCAGCCCTGAGGCTGTGCCTGGTTTCACTGTGACTTTCCCGTGGGGGCTGAGGGAAAGAAGTCATCTGGTTGTTGTTTAATTTTTAACGGCTAGTACATTGCTTGGCAATGAGGGGTTCCATTTTTGTTTGTGAAATCAACACATAAATGAACATCTTAAGCATCTTCTTCAGGTTTGTAAATCAGACAAGAGAAGGGAAAAGTGTAATCTAGATTTGAGAGTTGCAAATATTATCTCTTTGCAGATTTAGCCATTATATCAGTATACTCTGTGGTTCCATTTTTTTTAAGTGAAGGAGATAGTGAAGTAGTTTCTATATTTTTATTTTTATTTTTTTTTAAATTGTACATGTTGTACTTGGCACATTACTCCTTGTGAAATTTCAGTACTGATGTGATTGCTTATTGCAAGTATGAATTACATGAGGTATTTTTTTTTTTTAGGTTATGTTCTTAAGAGATAAGTCTTTTCTGAAATGCATGTTTGTAATAAAGTTTTTGGCTTAGGCTACACAAAGACAACATTCTAGGCATTTGTTTGAGAGGCAAGAGTTATACTCCAACTATCCCTTCTTTTAGAGTTATAATCCACTCACCTGGGGTAGGGGGATGGGAACTGTTGGATACCAGTGGTTTTCAGGAAAAAAATGGCATGAAGGCTCTGGGTCGGGGGGCACCGTGTGGTCGAAATATTAGAGCCATGCTTCTATTTTACCAATATATCCTTTTACTTCTTCTTTTTGGTGGATCTGAAAAAGGAGTTAATGATGTGGCTTAATGTCAACAAAACTGGAAGAAAACTTTTCATTTGAGCCTAGATTAAAACATGCCACTGTATTTAAAAAGCAATCAGTTTTATAAGCTAAACAAAAAAATGTTAACTCTTGGAAATTTTCTTTTCAGTCAAAAGAATTAAGAATAAGCTAAAAAGTCACTAAGAATTAGAGTCATCATTGTTGAAATAAGAAAGGTCACACTTCAAAGTCTAACAAAGGAGTGGCTCCTGTCTAATGAAGACCATTCCCACATAAAACTCAGAGTGCTTACTTTGTCATACATAGATATTTAATTTTAGTAATAACCAAAAAACATTTTGAAAAGCATTAAAATTAATTATATTTCAACTTTAAAGCAAAATGATAATGTAATAAAGATTATATTTTAATACAATACATTAAAATTTTAAGCAAACAAGATGATTTTCATCTTGATTTGCAGAAATGAATAAATTACTCAACTTTTAATAAAAATTTACTTGAGTTTTGGGGCTAAGTAATACTAGCTTTATGAAAGTTTGTTGTCTCTTTCTTAAAGAATTTATAAAATTTGTTTTAGACATGAGAAGTAACATTAAATATGATGAAAATTATTAAAGTTAATTCAGAAAAAGTATGGACTTATTATCAAGTGGTATGAGAATTATGTCAACATATTTCTAGTTTTTTAGTTTGATGATTTTGCACAAAGCAGTAATTACATTGTGTTAATGATTCTAATGGGTCATTTGGATGTTTTTTTTTTTTTAAAGAGAGA